ATAGTACGAGTTGTTTGTTCTAAGAACGCAGTTATACGAAGTAGTTCCGAAAGTCCGCTACGCCCGGGACTACGACCGTTGTCCGATGCGGTTACCAACTCGTAAACAAGTCCGAGGTGGGGGAAGTCGCGGACAAAGAAGTATAGACGAGGGGGTGAGCGGTAAGCAGGGGAAGTGAAAGGCAGGGGGTCGAGTTAGTTAGTTAGAGGATTCGAGAGATTCTAATCCTGGCACCCGACCTAGTCGGACGTGCCGTCGCGACTCTCCGGAATAATAGAGCTCGTGCGCGTGATAGAGGACGGATCCCGGCGGTTGTTAACCCTCGTCGTTAAATAAGCGGTTTATTTATTTGATTATTTCAAAAGAGAGATTCTGTTCTTGACGCTTGACTTGATCGGACGTTGCCGTTGCGACTCTCGGGAATGAAGAGTTTCGTGTGCGTGAAAGAGGACGGATCCCGGCGGTTGTTAACCCTCGTCGTTAAATAAGTGGTTTATTTATTTGATTATCTCGAAAAAGTGAGATATTTTAACGGATTTATTCCTATTTTGTTTATGCCGCGAAGATAATACTGAGGTACGCGTTAGTAGAGTTCGAAGGCGCGAGCGCGGATAAAGAGTATTAAACCGATAAACAACGGTTATTATTATTATTTACGATTAACAAATAAAATATAACGGATTTTCGGAAAGATTTCCGTATGTAATAAATTAAGTGATAACCGAAAAGGGCGTTCCCAGACTGGAACAAAGGATTATGTATGAGGCGAATTGCGCAGCAATAAAGTAAGTTATTTTAATTACTATACGTAGCTATAAGGGCACGTAGATATTAATGGACACGAGCGATACGCGTGTGAGTACAAACAAGATTTGTTATTTTACTGTAATATGAGAGTTTTGAATATATGTTAATTATTCATTATTTTGATATAAAAAGCATAAGTATAATCACTTACTTACCTTGAAATTCATGACGAACCGTCCAGTGACCGGACTTACAACGAAGTAAAAATAATTAATTACAAAGAAAAGTTTAAATTGAGACCTTCGGGTGATTTCGAATTATGGCCGTGAGAAGCCATACGTAGTTTTTGATAGATGGTCAGGAAACGACCATAACGTACATTTTGAATAAGGCACGCAAGCACCAGATATGGTTAGAGGAAAGGTATATAGCCTAACCAGTTGAAGCGTAGGAATCGTATTGTGGCGTAGCCTATACGATAAATTGACAAATAACAAGTACGGATTTTCACCATAAGTGAAATTCGGACCATCACTATACTAGTCCATAGATGGTGAAGTGGTAAAGGGGGTTACCCTATTCCCCGAGCCAAAGATAGGGTGGCGACTGACATAGTGACAGAGATTCGATTTACCATAACTAATAATTTGAGTATGGTCCATTGCCCGCCATTGATGGTAATTTTATATATGGTTGGGTTCTAATCGAATTAAGGGTGGATAGGCGGCAAAGCTGGAAGGGGAGAAACCGGTCAGGTTCTCAAGGGAAGAGACATAAGAGGTCCGGTTCTAGAAAACATTTAATTCTTTTTCATATTCCGATAAAACGGTCACAAACTTCCGATCGCCGACCGAACCTCGAGGAGCCTAACCGGCCGGATGAGAACTACTCGAGGACCTGACCAGAGCCTCGAGGAGTACGCAGGGCCGATGGTCATTTATATCAGCGAGGAGGACGCGATGCCTGAGATTCGGGTCAAGCAGGAGGAGGAACCCGATCCAGAGTGACCACTCGAGGACCAGCTGGCTGCCTTCGAGGGCCATGCGGACGAGCTCGAGATATCCAAGTAAGCCAAACCACATCGGCGTAATCTTAAGTACCAAGCGGTCTCGAGCAGCTCTCAAGCAGCACTCCTGAGTAGGTCGATGAGACAGGGGAGTAATGCTTGAGAGAGCGAGAGACTCGATATAAAATCAAGCGACCGGTTAGTCTTTTTAGTTACTAGAGTTTAAAGCGATACAGCTTAAGAAAGAGATTATGAGACGAGAGATATTTTTATACGTATATACTTTATTCGATTATCCAGCCGCGTTGCTTAAGACAGATTAGGTAACTTCAGTAATTAAGTAGATATTTTATTTGATTCGAAGATAATCGAGAAGGATCGCGTAGGTTCTGTCGACCAGGATCCAGGCTTAATATACACTGTGATATCATAAAGAAAGGTTAATTTATTTTAGAGGCGCAACAGATATTCGAGTCACGCGGCAATCCACGACGAAAGTAGTCGTTAGTTCTAAGCATGATGAACTGCGATATTAGTATTGTAAAACAGTCTTAAGAGATCCGAGGGCTGTGACGTAATGGATAATACTGCCCAAAGTTAATTGCAATTAACGTTAATAGATGTTTTGCGTTTTTCTAAAGACTTTCTACTACGATAGAGAGATTTTATAATTTTTAATTTTACTCATTAATTTTTAACAAAGTAGGAAAGATGTGATTCGAGCCAGAAGGCATAATGCCGGTAATGAGAAACAAGCCGGGAGATTATCTAGTAGTCACTTACGCCCCAGTGGTTCGACGGAACCTATGTAGAGCACGCTCCAGCCGGATGATCGCAGAAAAGGCTAAGTCCGAGGTGGAGGGCACCGGCGGTGACACGCGGCAACCTGAAATAGAGAATAAAGGATCATTAGTTGTGAAAAGTCCGTGGAAAACTAGAACGGAGAGAAAAGGATTATCATAAGTAAAGATTAATTTTATTTTTACGTACCTGGTGGGAAGCTCATTCCACGAGGATGAGATATCTCGCATTTAACGGTGACCTGTAATGAGAAAACAGGATTAAGATTTTATTAATACATAACTATATATACACATATATACACATGATTAATTATTAGCGAGACGCGATTAACTTTAGAATATATAAATCAGCGCGAATATTTAGTTTATAAGCATCGTACGAAGCATAGCGCCGTCGGAAAATCAGGAGTATGAGAGCGAGTGCACGTGATCGCGTGAGAGAGAGAGGAGAATTTTGTAAGGCGCGAAAGCTTGTCAAAAGTCAGTCGGACCAAGACCCCTAAACCGAAAGGTGGTACAGTGACCGTAGAGCGTAGCGGTAATTAGTGAGTCCTTCTCTGTCGGCGTATAACGATAAACGCGATTTGATACGAGAATAATATTTTGTTCAGTGATTACTGTACCAAAAGGACCAAACACTATCGTTAAAATATCCACGCACGGTGCGTAAGTGCATTCATTTGAGGATTCCTGTCCATCCTTCGGAGAACCGCATCGTGCGTAGCAAAAAGGGCGGGTGGCGACCGAATTGTGCTGCAACCAGCAGGAACGTGCATCTTTACCCTAGCCCGAAGGGCCTAAACGACTCGACGTCCGGTTATACCCTATCAAGCGGAACGCGCGCCAGCGAAAAATAACTAATGTCGGTAATACCGACGCCTTCTATGTAAACCCATAAAAAATATTGCCAGAACAACTGGGTTTTGGGTTTCTCGCATCCGGGGAGAGCCCGTGATTCATCCCACGGAAGCGAAGGGCGCGGAGACAAAATTTAGTTAATGTCGATAATACCGACGAGGGTAAACGCCATCTACGTGAGCCCACTTGTTCAGAATAGCGTCCGATCGTTTCGCAATTGTCAGTTTCGCCTCTGAAGATGACCAATGGTCTTCCTCGAAGAGGCAAAGCACGCGGAAGCGCAAAATAGTCGTTCACGGACAGAGAACGCGAGCGGACGTGTTCTAACAAACCGGACTCGTACCGTTGGTAACGGTAATACGCAGTTTAGCGTTCGCGACGTATTTCCGCGTGTTACAGTAAAGGCTATCGAAGGCCAAACGAGGGATATAGGTGCGACGACGAAAACCGCGTTCTGTATTGTTGTCATTTTACATAAATAAACGTTTTATAAACTCAGTGCCGTGTCAGTGCGTTTCTGCTGCGAATCCCGTCCTTCCCGGGGAGACGACACCGCGCTGGACATTCTCCAGGACGGGTGGCGACCGATTGCCGCATATAATTCATGCGGACCTGCATATCCTTGGATCTCCACGCTGCGGCGTGCTCAAGTAAGGACTTCACGTCCGGTTACAACCATACCCATCCTGATCTCGAGGAGCGGATCACTGTCCGTCGTGACCCCGAAGGGCAGGACCGGCTCAGGCGGAACCAGAAAGAGGATCCTCGAGGACCCGGGCATCTCAAGCAACCAACCAGCCTAATGGTGATTTACCTGGCGAGCAGGGAACCCGAAGAGGAGGACTCCACGAAGGACCGGGCGGATCTCGAGGAGGACCCGAAAGCAGGGGACCCTTGAGGATCGAAGATCACGAGACCAGGAGGTCGTTAGTAGACATAATTCGAGTATAGTCAGCCTTAAGTTAAGACTAGCTTAAGCAGGAAACGTCTTAAGCGAGAGACCATCCCGAGTCTTGGTGACTTAAGGATGCGTCAGCTTAAGTACGTGTCCGGAAGCCGATGATGAGAGTGCGACAAAGCCCCAGGACATTTGCGTTAATCAGTAAGATAGTATATTATGTTGATTGTTATAAGTCTCAATTAAATACTTGTGGTACAGCGGTACTTGAGTAGGAGAGACAAATGATTTATTTATGATTAAATGCGTACAGTTTTAGTTACTTTTGCGTATAGACCATGACTGAAAGCGCAACTCCGCGACTCAGTCCGAATAAGGCTCGGGAAACCGGAGTTATCGCCGGAAACTCAATTACGGTAGTCCTAGGGCGACGCACAGACTTCACCTAAGAGCCCGAGGCAATCAGATCTGTAAGATTTTCCGGAGGCTCTGTGGCGACTCGGAAAGGTGCGGAAATCACAATCACAAATTTTTGTCGAAAGTCTTTATTTTTTGTTATAAGCATCCTTCATCAGCCCCACAGTGACCTAAAACCTATACGGGAAAGAGGTAGTACAAGTTAATATTACGCAGCTTATCTGAAAACTGTGATCCCGGAGAGTTCCCCGGAGACTCGATAGATAGTATTTTATCCGTTTAGTTTATGTAGATAACCGTTCAGGGTCAAGGAGTGAGGAGGAGTTTCAGCGAAGACCTAGAAAGTATAAATGAAGGAGACTGAGATATATTGTGTCCAATAAATATTTACCGACAGAGTGAGGATCTTCGTCGAAGACTCTGCGACTACCTGAAAAAAAGAGAGATTACTAAATAGACGCAGTATGTCGACTTGTACTTATCCAGAGAGGAGAGACTTGTAAGAGACCTGTAACAGAAATAAGCATTAGAATAAGTTAGATGTAAGTTTATGTATTGAAATATATTTGTATTGCTATATTATAATTAGGAAATAAGAGCAATGACGTACTTGAGATTATATAATCAGCAGAGAATTTATTGTTAGGTTTGTAACGGTAACGCCCGCGGGGTTCGGTGCGATCGGTCGCCCCACCGTCGCGCCCGGCTCGCCGCTTCCGCGACGCCTCGCTCGCCGCCGCGTCGGTGCGTTACTCGGGTGAAGGGCAGGTTCAAGGTAGCTTCTTGGAAGAAAGATGCGTTCAGTGTTTCGGTATTCACAAGTTTGGTGCGCCCCGCAAGGCGCCCCGTTTATTCAAAAGACGTTTGATTCTATATAATATATATATATATATATATATAAGTGTATGTGGGCGGCTCGCTGGCTCGGTGTGGCGTCGGCGATGCCCGTTCCTCGGTGCTCGTGACTCCCCGCTTAGCCGCAAGGATGGTCCCCTATCCGCGGGGTCAGAGGGGATGTTCCGCGGCCTCGTGGCAGTCCGACGTCCTCGGCCACGAGTCCTGTTGAGGGCGCTTTACGCCAGCTGTTCTTTCGGATAAGCGAGAGGTGGTTTATTCCGGCAGCTTATCACGGACACAAAGTCGGACAAGCACCGATAATTCCGCGAACCGATGCTTAGAAATATTCTGTGTCGGTGGCTAACTGCTGCCGACACAGACGGACGAACACTTATATTCGCGCACAGGAATTTAGAGACTATTCTACGTCGATGGCTGTTTGCTGCCGACGTAGACGGACGTGCACTTATAAATCGCGGAACGGTGGCTAACTGCTGCCGTTCGTTCGGAAACAGATACTTATTCTATGTCGGCGCGGCGGCTAACTGCTGCCTAACGTCGACGGACGAACACTTAGAAATCGCGGAACGGTGGCTAACTGCTGCCGTTCGTTCGGAAACAGCTACTTAGTCTATGTCGGCGCGGCGGCTAACTGCTGCCTAACGTCGACGGACGAACACTTAGAAATCGCGGAACGGTGGCTAACTGCTGCCGTTCGTTCGGAAACAGATACTTAGTCTATGTCGGCGCGGCGGCTAACTGCTGCCTAACGTCGACGGACGAACACTTAGAAATCGCGGAACGGTGGCTAACTGCTGCCGTTCGTTCGGAAACAGATACTTAGTCTATGTCGGCGCGGCGGCTAACTGCTGCCTAACGTCGACGGACGAACACTTAGAAATCGCGGAACGGTGGCTAACTGCTGCCGTTCGTTCGGAAACAGATGCTTATTCTATGTCGGCGCGGCGGCTAACTGCTGCCTAACGTCGACGGACGAACACTTAGAAATCGCGGAACGGTGGCTAACTGCTGCCGTTCGTTCGGAAACAGATACTTAATCTTATTCTGTGTCGGTGGCTAACTGCTGCCGATACAGACGGACGAGCACGTATAAATCCGCGAACGGATACTTAGAAATATTCTGTGCCGGTGGCTAACTGCTGCCGACACAGACGGACGAATACGGTAAATTCGCGAACGGATACTTAGAAATCTTCCGTGTCGGTGGCTAACTGCTGCCGACACAGACGGACGAATACGGTAAATTCGCGAACGGATACTTAGAAATCTTCCGTGTCGGTGGCTAACTGCTGCCGACATAGACGGACGAATACGGTAAATTCGCGAACGGATACTTAGAAATCTTCCGTGTCGGTGGCTAACTGCTGCCGACACAGACGGACGATTACGGTAAATTCGCGAAGCCGGTCGATTGACGAGGCTCGGCTGCCGGGTCTTGTAAAAGTTCCCGGTGGTTCGGTACGGTGTGGAAGCTTTACTCACCGGCGGATGCCTTGCCTTCTCGTCGACTTCTCTTCACGATTCTCGCTGGAGCTCTCCTTGGTAGGATGGTCTGACTGACTGACTGTCTCTCACGGTCTGCCTCGATCTCTCGTCGAGAGCGGGTTTTATACCCTAAATTCCTCTCGACGATCGGTGGCCGATAATCGGGGGATTAGTTCCCCCGATTTCCCGGAAAGTCGCGCATGCGATTTCCGCGAATTACCCCTTTCTGGGGGGACCGATCTTCCCCGACCGTTTCGGAGAATTCGGCCTTTCCCGGCGGTCTGGCGGGTTGCCGCGGCATAGGTGTTGCCGGGTGCTTAGCGAGGATTTCTCGCGATCGTGTGACGATCGGTGGTCGCCGTCACACGATGGTAACGGGGGTAAAACTCCTCGTTACACTACCCCCCCCTTTTTAACAGCGTAGGGCCTATTTTTGCCCTACGCGATGTGCACTGCGGAGGGTGCCGTCCCGGTGGAACCAGAGATTCCACCGAGCCCCCGCGGCATATAGCCGGTAACGGCGTTTGACGACCGCGGAGAAATATGGGATCTCCGCGGTCGTCCCGTCGGGCAACCTTATGCCTACCGGTGGCGGTGGAGCAGGCCCGAATGGTAGCGGTGGTAGCGGCTGTTCGGCTGGCGTAGCGGTTTCCCGTCTTACGACCACTCGTACTGGCGGGGTCGAGATCTCCCTTATTTTCGGCCCGATCTTTCCTGCGGTGGTCTCGCTGCTGCTCGTCGGTGTTGGTGACGGCGGTCGCTGGTTATCCGCCTCGGTCTTCTTCGGCACTAAGGCAGCTGGTGCTGGGCGGACCGGTCGAAGGCCTCGCTGGCGGAAGGGCCCGCGCCCCGGTCGTGGTGGCGGCGGCGCGGAGAGACCTGCCCATTTCTGCCGTATCTGGCGGTCCGACCGCTGTATCCGGCCGCAGGTGTTCGCGGCCGGCTCGCGTCGGATCTTCTTGATTTCGGTCAACATTACTGTCGTTTCTTTTGCCTTTGGTGATGGCGGCCCTCCTAATTCCGGTAGCGGCCCTCCCTTGGCCGGTCCGGCTGTATGGCCGAGCGTCTCCGACGGCGATGGTCGGAACGGTCGCGCCAACCTTTCCCATATTACACGGGCCTCGTCCTCGCTGGCGACTAATATTTCCCGCAACTCTTCCTCGTAGTTTCCCAGTTCCATTTCGGCGTTGGGACTATCTCGCTCATTACGCGACCGGTGCTTTTATAGTTCATCTCTCGGGAAATTTCGCGTAATCTCGGGCTCTCGATTTCTTGCTCCCGTTTACCGGCCGTTATACTTAATGTATACATTTTGATACATGATTTGCGTAATACCTACCGGTCTGCTGATCTTGATGCTATTGTCTTCGGTTATTGTTGACACGGTTCGTCTGTTGTTGTACCGGTTCGCAAATCTCTCACGTGTACGTGTCGGTACCACTTTCCGCGTGGATCTTTCAGATCTACTATTACTGGAGAAATAATTTTCTTTACAATCAACGGCCCCTTGTACTTCGGTGCTAGCTTCGCGTTAAACGCTTTAGCTTTATCGGATAGCGGGTGTTCTCGTTTCCAGACCGTGTCTCCCACTTCTGGTCGCCAAGCTCTTCGACGCAGATTATAATATGTTTCTTGTTTTTGAAACGCTTGTGCCAAATGCACTCCCACCAGTTCGTACGTTTCCTTCAATATTTTCTCGACTTCCTGCGGATTCGCCCCCGCCCTGGTACTACTGCGGTCGGCGGGATGCGGTCGGTCGAGCTCGCGCCCGTGATTGAGAAACGCCGGGCTGAACTGTGTGGAGGCATGTTGAGCGGTATTATACGCAAAACGCAGGGCTGAGAGCTGTTCATCCCAATGACGGTGTTTTTTATCGACGAACTGAGCGATCATCGTTTTGATGGTCCGATTCGTGCGCTCAACGGGATTGCACTGGGGAGTGTAGCTTGGTGTCGTGCGGTGGTGGATCCCATGGTCTCTTAAGAATGTTCCAAATTCCTTTGCTGTAAATTGCGTCCCGTTATCGGTGGTGATCACGGCTGGACAGCCGTGTCGGTAAATCACCAGATCACTAATCCCGCTGATTACCGACGGTGTAGTGGCCTGACGCAGGGGCTTAGTTTCGAGCCACTTCGTGAAACGATCCTGCATAGTCAGCAGCCAGGTGAATCCTCGTCGTGATCGGGGCAGTGGCCCGATCAGGTCGATTGAGACATGCTCCCACGGCCGATGTGATGCGGTGGCGTGGAGGAGGCCGGCCGTCTTCCGTTGATTAGCCTTGTAGGCTAAGCATTTTTGGCAGTTCCGGACGTACCCAGCGGCGTCTCGAGCCATCCCCGGCCAATAGTACTGCTCGGCGAGTCGAGCAATCGTTTTAGCGATTCCTAGGTGGCCTGCGGCAGGACTGTCGTGGTAGCGTTTCAATACTTCCTTTCTATCGTTGGTCGGAACACACTTTTTCCACTGATTCTCTGCGGGTACTTCGCGGAAGTCCAACGTGTGGAGGAAATGTCGGTGCAGGACGCCATCCCGAATGGTGTAGTCGGGGAAATCGTGGGGCCGAGCGGCGACTTGTTTTTTAAGCGGCTCGTACCACGAGCATCCGGTGGCTTCCCTGATTTCGCAGACTGCGGGGTCGCGCGACAGCGCGTCGGCTACGCGATTTTGCGAGCCTTTCCGGTATGCGACATTGAAGGTGTACTGCTGTAGTTCAAACTTCCACCGCCCTAGCCGGCCGGTGGCGGTTTCCAGTTTCTGCAGCCACTTTAAGGATTGATGGTCGGTCACCACGGTGAAAGTGTATCCCTCCAAATACTCGCGTAATCGACGAATGCCCCACACAATAGCCAGGCATTCTAGCTCGGTAGCGCTATAGTTCTTTTCCGCCTGGTTGAGAGTCCGGCTAGCATAGGCGATTACGCGCTCGCCTTCCTCCAGGTTCTGAGTTAGCACTGCTCCCAGGCCGTGCTGACTGGCATCCGTCTGCAACGAGAATGGTTTCTGGAAATCTGGACATGCTAGCACTGGAGCCGTGGTAAGAGCCTTTTTCAGTCGTTCAAAGGCCTCTTCCTCCTTTGATCCCCATTTCCATTTCACTTTCTTCTTTGTCAACTCCGTCAGTGGTGCCGCAATCGCGGAAAAATTCTTGACGAACCTCCGGTACCAGGAGGCGAGGCCCAAAAATTGACGGACTTGCCTCACCGTTCTCGGAGCTGGCCAGGCTGTAATGGCGATTACCTTGGCCGGGTCGGTGTGTATGCCGTCGCGAGTGACCAAGTGTCCGAGGTAGCGCAGCTCGCTTCTACAGAAGTGGCACTTCTCCGTGTTGAGGCGTAATCGAGCTTCCCGCAACCGCCGGAATACCTCTCGTAAGTGTTCCATGTGTTCGTCCAGTGTAGTGCTTAACACAATAATGTCATCGAGATACACTAATACGTGCGGTTCCAGGTCAGCGCCCAACACGGTGTCCACCAACCTCTGGAAGGTTGCCGGCGCGGAGTGCAGGCCGAACGGGAGGACGGTAAACTGGCGGAGACCCCGGCCGGGCACGGTGAACGCAGTGATTGGCTTGCTGTCCTTGGTCAATGGAACTTGCCAATATCCGTTCTTCAAGTCTAACGAGGATAGGTAGCGCGCCCCGCGTAGTCGGTCCAAAGTCGCACTTATCTGCGGTAGCGGATAGGCGTCTCGCTCGGTTACCTCGTTCACCTTCCGGAAGTCTATACAGAAGCGGTATCCGCCGTCCTTTTTCCGGACGAGGACGACGGGGGAGCTCCAGGCACTAGACGAGGGCTCAATCACTCCCTCTGCCTCCATCTTTGCGACCTCCTCATCAATGATGGCTTGCATAGCCGGGTTCCGCGGTCGGTAGCGCTGCTTGATGGGGCTCGTGCCGGGGCACACCCGAATCTGGTGGCGGATCGATGGGGTCGGCCCGGAGACTTGATCGAAGAGAGTCAGTTCGCGCGTCAGGAATTGGTTGAACCTGGCTTCCTCTTCGTCCGTCCTGGTCGTCAGGCCCCCCTCTATGACCCCCACGCGGGGTGGTTGTAATCGCCGGAATTTCCTTGGTGGCGGCGGCAGCGCAATCTGGAGCCGGGCCCAGAGGTCCACCCCGATGATGACTTCCGTGGTCAGGTTGGCCATCACGGTAAATTGGTGGCGGTACTGCTGCCGTCCCACCTCTACGTGGAGCCAAGTCCGACCGTATGTCGGGCTGCCGGTTCCATCTGCCAGCGTGATCCGGCCGGCTTCCCCTCGTGGGAGATCTTCGTCGCGTAGTGATCGAATATCGATTAAGGATGTTTCTGCTCCAGAGTCAATTAGTGCCCTTAATGGGCGTTGCTGGTACCGGATGGTCAGGTACGGTCTGGGCTGATATGTTATGCGGAGGGCCGGGTCGTGGTGGCGCCACTCCCGGCCGCGGACCCGTTTCCCGCCGTGGGATGACACTGGCGGGTTAATACGCCGTCCTTGCCGCAGCGTGAGCAGAATTTTACGGCTGGTTGTCGGCAAGCTCGGCGATGATGTCCCGGCTGTTTGCATTTCCAGCAACACGTTGCTCGGTCGTATAAAAGCGCGGCGATCGTAGGGCCGGTGGTTCGTATCGGTCGCCCCTGTTCCTCGCGCTGCTGGACGATATCCTCATACTGGCGGGCTAGTTGTCCCAAGTGGGCCACATCTCGGATCTCGTGTGCGCCTATGAACATTTTGTAGCCGGCATCTAGGTTGTCATAGAGCAGCGGTATGGCGTTGTCCAGGTAATCGTCATCCCCGCTACGGCGCATCATCGTGAGCATGGCGGTCTCATACTCCCGGTATGCCTCCCCGGCGCGCTGGCGGCGCTCCAATATTTTTCGCCGCAGTTGTCCTCGGTATCTCGGCGGGAGGAAGTGATTCCGGAAAGCGGCGCAGAAGTCCTCCCAGGTTGTCCAGGCGGCCCGGTGGTTTCGGTACCAACGCAGCGGATCTCCGCGCAGGAGTTCCGGAATGCACCACAACAGCTGGGCGGTCGTGACTCCATAACAGGTCTGGAGCTCGTCCACTCGCTCCAGGAAGTCCAGCGGGTCCTTTCCGGAGAATCGACAGTCCCATTTGTGGACGCACATCATGGCCTGCGCATCGGTGGGGATCCTTACGGGGGGATCTATTCCCATGACAGAGCCTCCTCGGGAGGACTCTTCATCCGCCAACACTGGGGCCGGGATAACCCGTCTCCGCGGCCCGGCCTCGAACATTGAGGGGTGGTCGTCCACGAACCTCCGCAGTCGGTGGCGCAGGTCGTCGATCGACCCCTCTATCTCGAGCCCATGTTCCCCGAGAATTCGGGCGATCTCGGGTTTGCGTAGCTCCTGTATCCACGCCTTCGACATTTTCTTCGCTGTGTTTCCTCAGTTTTTTTTTTTTTCCTTTCTCTTCACCCTAGTTGACCGATCCTGGCAGGATCGCCATGTAACGGTAACGCCCGCGGGGTTCGGTGCGATCGGTCGCCCCACCGTCGCGCCCGGCTCGCCGCTTCCGCGACGCCTCGCTCGCCGCCGCGTCGGTGCGTTACTCGGGTGAAGGGCAGGTTCAAGGTAGCTTCTTGGAAGAAAGATGCGTTCAGTGTTTCGGTATTCACAAGTTTGGTGCGCCCCGCAAGGCGCCCCGTTTATTCAAAAGACGTTTGATTCTATATAATATATATATATATATATATATATAAGAGTATGTGGGCGGCTCGCTGGCTCGGTGTGGCGTCGGCGATGCCCGTTCCTCGGTGCTCGTGACTCCCCGCTTAGCCGCAAGGATGGTCCCCTATCCGCGGGGTCAGAGGGGATGTTCCGCGGCCTCGTGGCAGTCCGACGTCCTCGGCCACGAGTCCTGTTGAGGGCGCTTTACGCCAGCTGTTCTTTCGGATAAGCGAGAGGTGGTTTATTCCGGCAGCTTATCACGGACACAAAGTCGGACAAGCACCGATAATTCCGCGAACCGATGCTTAGAAATATTCTGTGTCGGTGGCTAACTGCTGCCGACACAGACGGACGAACACTTATATTCGCGCACAGGAATTTAGAGACTATTCTACGTCGATGGCTGTTTGCTGCCGACGTAGACGGACGTGCACTTATAAATCGCGGAACGGTGGCTAACTGCTGCCGTTCGTTCGGAAACAGATACTTATTCTATGTCGGCGCGGCG